TTTTAATGAAGTTTTAACAATTAAACAGTTGTGCGAATACTTATTGCATCAACATTTCTATCGATTAATTCTTTTTTCTTGTTAATTTCGCAACATACATAAATAGCTATTTTTTGTTTGTACTCTATCTATTCTAGAGATTTCCGAGACTATGTAGAATGACATTCTTAAAAAATAAACTAATAAATTACAATTTTTCATAGTTTTTTTGGAAATTGATCGGTGTACGAATACTTTCTACACCCACTGTATGTGTGAAAGATTATAAGAGGGATGCACTTTGGAAGAACAGATCAGTTTTTGAGCAGTCGCACAGTACGGACAAATAGCAAAATTGTGGACAAAAATCAAAATTTCATTACTAATATAAATATATTGCTATTTATTCACAAAAAGAAATAAAATTAACCATAAACATTAATAAAATCACAACAAAATTAACAAATTTAACAAAAAATTAACAAACCCCGATTTTGATGAAACTTTGTATACTTGTTTGTGGGACCTTCTTATGAATTACACCATCCTCAGTACGTGCGACTTTTGCGTTCTAAAGGAGAAATTAACCCTTTTATCCGAGCCGCCCCTTTTACTTTTGCTCGGAACAATTAGAGATTTCAAAAAAATGTTCAAGCAAACATTACACTGTTTTTAGAGGCCTATAAACCAATACCAACAAATTTAAAAAAACAACCATATTTTTTTTAATTATCCTCCCCCCTCTCGAATTTTTTGAAAATTTTGATTTATTTCTAGATTAATAAAAGCGTTTTTTTATTCTGAATCCAACGGTGTGTATGAATTTATGATTATCATACAGGAAAATGGTGTAATATTGTAAAATTGTTGCTTTAGTAGACCATATTTCGAATTCTTTAGGAATTTTTTTCTCATAAATAATAGAAGTTGCACCCGTATGTTATTTAACACAATATGCTTCGTTTTGGCTGAGGATGTGTAAAATAATTTTTATAGGGATCCATAAATCAATTAAATCAGAATTTTTAACTTCCAATTGCGACCCTACACCAACAGTACGGTCCTTTATCAAAAATTATATAAAACCGAACGTTACAAGTATTTGCAAAAAAACTTATAAGTTTCTTAAAATATAACAAATAATATATCCAAATATGTTGAGAACTCAAGATATTTTTTGCCGTTTTGTCTGTATGTTTGTTTAAAGATAAAGATTGTATTATGAATACAAATGATTGGATGGATACATGATCATTTGTGATCACATTGTGATATATACTAATATTGAATTTTGTCCACTTATTCCGCACTGTGAGTCGTAAGCGAAGTGACACAGTCTGCATATCGTGCGAAATTGTTGCGACAAATGTTCACTCCACAAAATAAAGACATTTTGTCTCACTACATTGATTGTCATTCATTTCACAGTCCACTTATTATTATTTAAAATTAATCGCACAAAGTTAGTTCGGCGTGTGACGGACGTACGGAGTTTCACCACCCTTAAATTGACCGAGTTGCAAAATGCGTACACGACGCGTTGCACGACGCGTTAAATTTTCTGTTTAAACGATATTCAAGTATACAAGGTCATCAATAATTTAGTTATTAATAGTTACTTAGAAAAATAACTTAAGTTCTAGAGAAGTAAAGCGATATGTAATTATCTGGTTCTCAATACTTATCAACTTGTAGTTATCTCTAATAGAAAACAAAATGTTTACAATTCATCTTTTCTTAACAATTCTCTTTTCAAATAAATAATTCAAAAGTCTACTTAAATTCGGTAGGTTCGATTGAAACAGACGATAAACGTACAGAATTTATTAGCCAGAATTTGGTTGTAGAAAAAGAAGTAGAAATATTAATGTTACATATTACAGTATGAATAATACTTAATTCGACTTTATTATTAATTATTTTAATTATTTTCCTTCGTTTCAAATAAGAAGTAACAAATAAATATTTACCCTTTTATTTTAATTTTAAGATAATTAGTGATTTTTATTTGAATAATTATTTAACACGTATTTAATATTACCAAACTCACGTATGTGTTAAATAATTATTTAAATGAAAATCACTAATTATTTTGATATATTAGGTTGGTTCTTATTTCAATGATCATTGACGTCTATGTTACACATCCCCTAAATACCTAACTCACGTATGTGTTAAATAATTATTTAAATAAAAATCACTAATTATTTTAATATATTAGGTTGGTCCTTATTTCAATGATCATTGACGTATATGTTACACATCCCCTAAATATCTTGCAAATACATAAAAAAATTCCTGTAAAATTTGAGCTCTTCTTTTTATTATTAACACGTGCCCTAAACTTTCGAAAGTTTAAAATAAAAAATACATTCAATTTTTTCTTAAAAATTTCAAATGTTTATCTTAATTATTTCCTTATATATCAGTGCAATAAATACGAAGCTATTTCCTCTACTTAAACTATTTTTGTAATATTATTTTTAATGTATTAAATGTCAATTTATTGATTATTTTTTATAAAAGTTCTATAAATAAAAATTATTTTTCAGATAATAAAAAAATTTGGTATATCAAAGATCTTTCAATAACTATTTATAAAAAATATATTTAAAAAAATGTTTCGAACAAAATTTAATCAGTATTTAATTGCCAAGAAATTTTAATTTCAAAAATAGCAAAAAAATAAGATCACCATGAATTTTTTAACTGAAACCATATATTTTTAACGTGATAGTTTCGTAGGCGGTATCGAAACAAATTCACAGACTTGCTACATTGTGACCTTGGTATGACGTTAAATCAAAGAATCGTCGTGAATCGCTTACCACGATATGTGAAATTTGGACTATTTCAATGACACATAACAGCGACGCATCGCATTTAGACTAAAACAAATGATCGTAAATATTATGAACAGTCCTTTATGCAAACGCTATCGTGTGCTATTATTGTAAAATCTACTAAAAGTGACTAAATCGTAACAGGATTATTTTTTTTGTCGATTAAATACTGATTACCTTTGGTTCGAAACATTTTTTAGATTTTTCAGTCTGCTTGAAAAACCATGGTAAGTGATGGGTGACACACCCTGTGTACCCTAATGTTAAAAGGATACCTTTGAGGGCAACTAACGAGAGAATCACACAGTTATACATGATACACTATGTATACGTATATGTACATATTTATATAAACATAATCTGTTTCAAGTGACAGTTAAAATTTGCAAAATATCGATTGTTGTTTCGCAAAGTGTGCTTCTGTAATTTCTATGAAATCTCGTTATCTCGATAAGTTTTTCGTATAGCACAACTTATTTTTCTGGTAATGTAATAAAATAAAAATGTATAGATGGCGGTTTCGATCTTTCATCATATCTTTTAACCAAGTACTACCAAAATATAATATTATCTCAAAAGAGATGTTCATGTCGAATAATCGATTATAATAGCTAATATTGATTTTTCAGAGTCTTATTTGGTACTTATTACACATATGAATGTATCCGTGGGAAAATATGAGAACGATCAATCTATAACTATACTGACGGTAAGCAGATAAAAACGAAGATAATCACAGTCATGGGTTGTTTACGTATCTAATACGAACGTAGAGAAACCAGTAACGTGTGTATTTCATTCTAACAAAGAAACATTTTCTAATGGAAACCGATTTAAATAGACATTATTGTTTCCAGAAAATATTTATCACTATTTTCTTTGAGCATATTATGGCAACAAAGGAAAAGGATCTTCGGGTAGAAGTATAGCAGTATATTAATCAAAATTGAAAGGCGAATCATTTAGTGTTCAATAGTTAAGATTTCGCGGAATTCAAGTCACTGTAAGTGTTTAATTGTGGAAAAAATATATTATCGATAACATAAAACTGTCACAGAATCCGAGATTGAATTACAAAGAATGTACTCACCGTGGGATAATCCCGCACTAAGACAAATAAGCAGTAGCACAGCACGCGCACGCAACATTTTAATGAATTTTAGTACTAAATTGCAAAGCGATTCACAAAAATTGTACCACTTGAGAATTATGCATACACTAAACAAATTCAGCACTGGGCACTTCCACCTTACGCGAAACAGAATGCCGCAAGCAGCTGCAAGTTGTCGCTTGATAGTGTTACAAACTGGTATGACTCATTGTCAGTAGATGTCAGGTTTGTCATTTGCGACTGTGGTGACACCTCTCGAATCAACTCCACCACTAGAAGGCTACAAGTGGTTGTCGATTGTCGCTAGTTACTGATCAATATCAAATATCTACATTCACTTTGTTTTATACAGGGTGTTAAAAAAAAAGCATCCAATATTTATATGGTGTATAGGGCACACTGTACTGAGTAAAAAGCTTTAGTAAACATAGACCCAAAGGCAGGGCCGGCGCAAGGCAGGTTTTTATTAGCGATGAGTCAGTTTAAAGGAGTGACAAAAATCATCAAAGTATTACTATTTAATATTCATCTTATAAAAGACATGTAACAGCATTTGTAAATAAATAATTTCCGCGTTGTAAAATTTGAGTATACGATTTGAATGTGAATTCAGGTCCCGAAAAATTTTTGAACCGGGCCCCGTAAAAGGTCACGCCGGCCTTGTCCAAAGGTCAACCGTTTCTGAGATATAAACATTTTTATTTGCTAGTATCATGATTGACTTACTACTGGGTTTTCGATAATTATAGAAGATTTTCCACGTGTCCACCGCTCGTTTCTGTGCACGAAATTGAAAAAATGTAATCGACGAAATTGTCGGCACTTGATTGGGAACATTCAGAATGCAATTTATAAACACTGACATAAACATCGCATGCGATGGAAGCAAGTAAGTCAATCATGATACTAGCAAACAAAAATGTTTATATCTCAGAAACGGTTGACCTTTGGACCTATGTTTACTAAAGCTTTTTAACTCAGTACAATGTGCCCATATAAACATTGAATGCTTTTTTTTTTAACACCCTGTATAAGTTAATAAAGTTTACTATTTGGTAGACTTCAGTTAAAATACATTCCTTCCATTTCTTATACTTACATTCTAACTAATCTGATTTCACTTTATTATGTGTCATTTGATCATTGCCGAAAGTAGACGAAAATTTCGTAAGATTTGAGCGGTTGATTTCAAATTTCAAGCGCTTCAACATGTCTTGTTAATTCATCGAAAACTGAACTGTATTATTATGTATTCATATGGAAAAAGATAGACATTTATTTGATATAATATTTTTATTTAAAAAAAGTAAGCAAACGAACAACATTTATGTGTTTATGTTTGCCTGCATATACTTGGAAAGACGAGTAACAAATAAATAACAATATAAATAAGCAATATAATTTACTAATTTTTTAGTTTTAGTATTGCACTATACGAATAAATTTTATTATATGAAAGATCTTCAAATTCTGTTAGTGGTTAGTACGTTAATACAATTATCAATAAATTCAAAGTATTTCTAAATTAAACAAAATCAATTAGTACTATAAATATTGTTTATTATTTAGCTTTAAGATATGCTTTCATTAATTAAATCTCCAACAATTTGACCAAGTTCCTTATCATGCTGTAAAACAAAACTATGATAATAACCATGCTTACAAAGCTCCGCTTTCATATTGGGATGTACGGTCTTCATGTCTTTATAAAATTTAACTGGAGCCCAACCATCGCAATTGCCATAGTAGAACCATAGCTTATCAGCATATTGTGCAAGTGTAATATCGTCTCTTTCTTTAACAACTTTCATTTCTTCATCTGCCATTCTGAGTACATTTTTTAAGTTGCGTGGGTTTAGAAGTTGCTGAATTGGCTTCTTATGCTTTGCGGGAATTCCATGCAGCAAAGTATAAATGCTGATCAGAAAAATTTGTAAAACTGGTATACATGATAGTAACCAACAAAGAAAAACTAGGATAAATGCAATACGCGATACCTGAAAAAAGTATATATTAGTTTAACTATCTTATCCTCTAGTATGATAATTCGCTATAACAAAATGTCAAAAAAACTTACTACTTGGGTGAAAAACAATCCATTACGAGTTGTAGCCATATGTTCTATGGTTGGAAATAGCAAATAACATTGCGCTACTCTTTTAGAAATAGAATTATCTTTCAATATGTTTAAAATCATCCAACATCCTATTGAATGACCAATAAGATGTACCTTTGCATCTTCTGGCACATATTTTTGTATAAACTCTTTCTGAAATCGAATCATAGTAAATATACAGCCATCTTCTTAGAAAAAGAAATAAAACGACAAAAAAGGGAAACCTTGTGTTCCAGTTGAGCCATTAAACTATAATGTTCGTTCCAATTTGAATCGCTTGGCATGGTCATTAGCAAATTGTTTGGCGGTTGTACATGTCCTGCGTGTCCAACTACCCAAACAGGTGTTTCAGTAGGAAGTCTTGTCTTGAGAGATTTTATAAATCCTTCGTAAAATTCTGGAATGCCAGGATTACCTGGTATAATAATTACTACATCTTTTTTACCACACATTGAAAGACCTTCCTCAACCCAACATCCTTCTGTAATTACATATGTTGGCACGCCATTCCATTTTAACATAGCACGTATCATCTTCTTTCCTACTTGTGTCCGCTATAACAAATTTTTTAACGTAACTATACTGTGATAAAAAAAATATAGAAACTTATACAGAGTTAGAATGAAGTATTTACACAGATAATAGATTTAATGGCCCTCAAGGGTTGTATCGGTGTTTCTGAAAGCTACAGTATGGGCTTAGCAACCCCGAGGTACCCGATGAGTTGTCAAGCAACAAAGAGATAAGAAGTTATAAATTTAAATGCATCCTGAGCAGGGAGGCGATCAGGTCTATTTCCCGTATAAGGGCAAACCATTATAATTTAAATGAATCCCTAGCGAGAAAAGGTATTAAAGAGGATAAGATGATAACAATGTAAAATATGTATTCACAGGAAAAGTGTAAATAGTCAGACATGACTACACTATAATAAAGAACAAGCAAAGCAAAGTACTTTTTAATGTAAACATGAAATTTTCTTTTCTCTTTAGTGTTATGAATCTTCTGTAAGAACGTATAATATGTATAAATGTTAAGTGCAATCATTATTTAGGAGTTGTTTATTCGAAAACTAACCAAATAAAAGATTTATAATAACCTTACCTGTAGTTATGAATTACGTATGATTCAGTTTTTTTAACACAAGAAAACAAATACGTTGACAGTCCTGTTAATAAAGTTTATTAAATACGTAGTAGATCATACATTAATACTGCTATGCATAACGTTACTTTGACCTTTACTTCCTGGAGTAGCATAGCAGTAGTATGTAAGTATATAGATACTCCAGAGTCATAATGTGACGTATGCATATTATGATGGAAATATTACATCTCTACTGCATTTGTATATCACAGTTTTAGGTTAAACTTTCAAATTGCATTTTCATAATAGATTGCACGATAACACAAAAATTCGAAATCGACGAATTAGAAATAGCAGGCAAGTGGTTCTCATCTGCCGAAATAGCTCAGTTGGGAGAGCGTTAGACTGAAGATCTAAAGGACCCTGGTTCGATCCCGGGTTTCGGCAATTAAAAAATTTCTTTCTACTTTAGTAGAAATGAAAATTATTTATTTTATTTTGTAGAAAAATATATCATTTACTATATCTCTAAGAAGAATAATAAATAATTGACGTATACATAGTTTTACTTTTTTTCGTTTCTTCTTACGAAACGTTTTTATTGTTTATTAAATGAAATAATACTACAATAAAGAATTTTTTAAGAAATCCTTTAGAATTTTCAATAACAAAAATTTTCAATAACAAAATAGGTATACTTGTCAGTGTAGTCGTGATAGATATTTAAACGCTATCGTCTGTTACGCGTAATTATAACCATGTGTACCTTCATTTAAAATAAAAAAAAATAAAAATGAGAGTACTCCATAATTCGACCAATGTATGGTTGAAGATTCCATACCATCTGTGTTCTATTACAAAACAAAACACTAAAGCACCTTTTGTTAAACTCTTAAAAATATTATATGTTACATATTATTAAATATAGTATTACATAGTATTAAATATTTTAATACTATTACATCCGTTTATCCGAAATATCCGTTTTAAATTCCAAAATTAGATTCTTTTACGAATACTGTAAAGATTAAATATTATTGTTACTTACCTAAAACAGCTACCTAATTGACTCTGTGACTGAAAGAATACTGAATTGGCGGAAGTGATTTCGTATAAAGTTCAATAAAGTAATTAATTCAGTAACGGATCGAGAATTATCGAGCCCAGAAACTACAAAATTTATAAATTGTCAATGAAATTTACAAAAATCGAACAAGAAACTATTCTAGACATTTTGCGAGAATATCAAATTACATGATTAAAATCTGTTGCTTAAGAACTGTTCGATCACCTATATGACTAACAATTGTTAATAAACTTATTAATAAGTTTGTCAGATAGTAAATTTTAAATAAAAGATGAACAACTTTAATTGGACACAATTTTTTATCTATAGGTATGGTAAATAAACGAAAGGGGTGTTCTGGTTTGAATAACTGAAAAATAGCCAATTTTCTAGAATTCTTTTTGTTGAAATACATATGTAGTAAGGAATATTGAAACAAGACTTTCCCATAACATTGATAATTGACGTACAACTCAAATAAAACTACATTCTGCGGAAAATGACATAGAGTTTTTTGCAAAATATTGAATACCGAAATGGTATAGTCGATATTTCACGCTTTCTGTTGTACTTCATGGTGTCGTAAAAAATAATACTTTATAATATTTTTAAAAATCTCATTTTCCGACTAAAAACTATCTTCTTTCGGAAAATCATCGGTTTAAACAAATCGGTTGAGCCATCAATGAGAAACTTTGCATGCAAGGAGGAAAACAGTAGTTTCAAGAAAAAAGCGTTTAAAGTTTGTCCATGTGAAACTTTCTGCTCGAGTAGCAAAACATACACCCTTAAATTATTGCTATCATTATATTACGTTGTCCTAAAAGTTTTTTTCGTGACTTGCACTCAGTTATTTTGTGTGGCAGTGTTTATATAAGTAGGCAACCCAATTTCTTAGATGTTAATGTTGTAACAGTAATGGAGCAAAATGGATCGTACGCAATTTAATAATGTAACATTAGACATAAAATATTGTGTATCTATTACTTATTAATGAAATGGAAGAAACTTTTGGGACAACCTAATATTTACTTTAGACACCATATACATTAACATTATTATTTCATTCTTTTAAGCAATTGTATCTAGAACTGACGAGTATTCGTATCAATTACATAGAAAATATTTCATATTTCTTAGTGCAATTTTAATATTTCATCGAAGTCGGTTATATTTTTTTTCCAAAAATTATTTTATTCTTAGCTAAAACTTTATCAGAGCGTCGCGACCGCACACGCTCGAAAAGGCAGATGTCTCGGGGGAGAGGAACAATAGAGTTGACGAAAACGGAGTAAAATCTCCGTGCGTAACAATATTATCGCAGATACCTGGAAAAATATTTGAATTGTTCGCTGTCGTATCGATTTAATGCCTCGTTGTTGCGCGCAGATTATAAAAAACAAAGGCACCTAAATATATGCCATCTATTGTAAATATGCTGTTTATATCATAAAATGAACTACTTTCAACATGTAAATCTGTATTTCCCTACTTAGCTGCTTCTCAAATACAGGGTGTTCAAATGGTGTTATATGGTGTATAAGGCACACTGTACCGTGTAAAAAAGCTTTAGTAAACATAGGTCCAAAGGTCAACCATTTCTGAGATATAAACATTTTTGTTTGCTAGTATCATGATTGACTTACTTGCTTCCATCGCATGCGATGTTTATGTCGGTGTTTATAAATTCCGTTCTAAATGTTCCCATTCAAGTGCCGACAATTTCGTCAATTTCATTTTTTCAATTTCGTGTACAGAAACGAGCGGTGGACACGCGGAAAATCTTCTATAAATATCGAAAACCCAGTAGTAAGTCAATCATGATATTAGCAAACAAAAATGTTTATATCTCAGAAAGGGTTGACCTTTGGACCTATGTTTACTAAAGCTTTTTTACTCAGTACAGTGTGCTCTATATACCGTATAAATATTGAATGCTTTTTTTTGAACACCCTGTATACTCGTATCTTAAACTTTGTATTGTTTTACTAACAACTGAACTAGAATTAGTCAAAACCATTTTCTATCTCTTCCATCAACAGGATCTTAAGAGTTCCATACTAAAATTTCAACTACGTACGAAATAAGTGTGAGCGTTTAACCGCTACCAATTAAAAAACGCTAAGAATTTTCGTTCTAACCTAATATTTAAAAAACTTTATTCTCCATCATGGACAAACTTATAAAACGATAAAGCAAACATTGCAAAGTGTCTGAATATTAAAGTTGCTCATTACACTAGTTTACAGCCAAAATGTACATTCAATGCCACAATTTTTTTCTTATATATTTTGGCCTACTAAACTCGAAAATCGCAAGAACAAATTTTCTTATGGATAGGTTTTTTTGTATGAGTTTTTAAATTATCTTTCGTTTTTTTCTGACATAACTTCACATTTTAGGCCACATCTCGAGTTACAAACGTCAGATTGAGTCGCACAAAACGCCATTTTAAAGGTAATCGAATTTCCAACAATTGCTTTTTACATTATTTTTTAACTGGTTCAATAGTTTAAGTGTTACGAGCCAATATATATGAGAAACTTTGATTTTTTCGGCTAAAATAGAACACGAATATTTCTTTCATCGCCATGGAAAAATAGACGTCAAATTATGTCAATTTCGTATTATCTACGTATAAATCACACTTTTACGAAGAAAACAAGCTTTTGTTGAAGAAAATCTATGGATAAATACCGGAGTTAGGAACAATTGAGTAAAGGTACAAAAATCCAAATTTTACTCTGTTTTTGTATTTTTTTCCTATTTATATAGGAAACATTTATTTAATTAATTTCGATTATAAATAATTTCGGCCTTTGCTTTGTCTTCTGGTATTCGTTGGGTTCGTTTCTCTGATGAGGAATCAAATGTAGTCTCATAACATTCTGTCATCCCAATATCCTTAATAGCGATGCTCAATAGTTTAGGGCTTCTGGCTCGCAGAGTATTAATTATAAGGAAATTGTTTAAGATTTGCTAATAAATTACGCAAAACTGGGTATGGAATATATATTGTTATTCTATTTGATTTGACAAAATAGAAAAATTTGTACATTTAACTTCAATTTTAATTTGAACAGGCGTAAATATGATGCTCAAAATTCATTTTTTACATTCCCACTTGGACTTTTCCCAGAGAATTTTGGCGATGTAAGTGACGAACACGGCGAAAGGTTTCACCAAGTTAGAAGAACTATTGAGCAGCGCTATCAAGGATATTGGGATGACAGAATGTTATGAGACTACATTTGATTCCTCATCAGAGAAACGAACCCAACGAATACCAGAAGACAAAGCAAAGGCCGAAATTATTTATAATCGAAATTAATTAAATAAATGTTTCCTATATAAATAGGAAAAAAATACAAAAACAGAGTAAAATTGGGATTTTTGTATCTTTACTCAATTGTTCCTAACTCCGGTATTTTACCATAGATTTTCTACAACAAAAGCTTGTTTTCTTCGTAAAAGTGCGATTTATACGTAGATAATACGAAATTGACATAATTTGACGTCTATTTTTCCATGGCGATGAAAGAAATATTCGTGTTCTATTTTAGCCGAATAAGTCAAAGTTTTTCATATATATTGGCTCGTAACACTTAAACTATTGAACCAGTTAAAAAATAATGTAAAAAGCAATTGTTGGAAATTCGATTACCTTTAAAATGGCGTTTTGTGCGACTCAATCGGACGTTTGTAACTCGAGATGTGGCCTAAAATGTGAAGTTATGTCAGAAAAAAACGAAAGATAATTTAAAAACTCATACAAAAAAAACCTATCCATAAGAAAATTTGTTCTTGCGATTTTCGAGTTTAGTAGGCCAAAATATATAAGAAAAAAATTGTGGCATTGAATGTACATTTTTTTTTTGTATTTTGTAAACTAGTGTTATTACACTGTCGATCTTTATACATTTATAGGAAACTTGAATATGCAAGAACCTACAAAATACAAACAATATGCAAGAATATAAACAAAATTGAAAGTAAAGTTCATGTTATAATATTTGCAGAATAAAATAAATTCCTATTTAGGTTCAATCTTTATAGGTACGTTTACAAAGATTTTATTTTGCATAATGATCCACAGTCCACTCATTATAAATACATAAGCGCGTTTGTTCGAGCATAAAAGTCCGTTTCAGATCCACGATAGGCAGCAAATGCTTGGGCGGGCCGCCATTTTGGTAGCTTCTCTGGTAGCGGCGCATTTCCCACGGTGCACTGCGACAGCGGTATACGAGGCGATAGCTGCTCCAGGAGAAACGTACAAGAGAGAGAA